TCTGAAGAGGCCTACTGGAATTGAAAGGAGTGTAGAAGTGGCATGTGTTGGATCTAGGAGTTAAGTTACTGGTTAGGATGTCTGTGTCTGCCCTCAGAGGGCCTGAGTTAAGAGTCCCGGATTTGGATCTGGACCCTGGGGCCTCCAGGCCTCCAGTAGCAAAGCAGGGAGCAATGGCCGGAACCCAGAAGAGGATCACATGCAGGGAAGCAATGACATGGTATGCAGTGCACTGTCACTCACAACAAGGAAGAAGTCTCTTAGCTTTACTTTCCTCCCTCCTTCCTACCTTTTGCTGAGACATCCCAGGAAAGCGTGTTGGGGTAGTCCATGTTGGTCATCCCTCACGGGGCACGCTGAGGAATAAAGAAATGGAAGGGAACAAATGATGTGGAGGTTAGTCAGAAGGTAACCGATATGGTGTACTTTCCCTGATAATATTCCTTCCCCTGAGCACTACTGTTCCTCTTCAGTCACAAAGGAAAACAGTACATATCATCACCTGATTGATATATATTTAGTTAATTAATTTGAAAGGGAGAGACAATCTTCTATCCACTGCACTCTCCAAATGACTGCAACAGCTGAATCTTAGCCAAACCACAGTCAAGTATTGGGAACTTCATCCTAGTCTCTCATGTGGGTACCAGAGGCCCACATCCTTGGACCATTTTCCCTTGTCCTGCCAGATGCATCAGCAGGGCAGACAAACTAAAAGTGGAGCATCTGACACTGGAACCAGCACCAATGTGGAACCTAGCATCATATGCAGTGGCTTATCACACTGTGCTACAACATTAGTGTCAATATTTTATTTTTAGTTGATGATCCCACTTGAAGAATCCCAGGGAGCAGGGACTTCTGTTTTGCTTCCTACTCTTTCCTCAGCATCCAGAACAGTTCCTGGCAATGAACCTCTTTGTGGAAAGAATAGTTTAAAAACTGGCCCCAGTATTTTCTAAGTCAGCAGCTGGTTCATCTTCTCTTGCACATCTTCTTCCATGAAAACATTCGACTGATTTCCAAAAACGCAAGCAGAGTGTGTCTGCTTATGACCAAGCATTTGGAAACCACAACTTCCTCCTACCAATCTATCTTTGCCCAATAGCTCCAGAAGGGAAGCCCAAGGCCTGCTTTGCAAGACCTTGCTGTTCAAGATCCTCAGCTCTGCAGTCTTGGTATCAAGAGGTAGGAGTGGGGTCTTAGCACCCAGCATGTGAGCTGGAGGAGCCTAGGCTCACATCCTACAAGGAAGCATACAGGTCCAAACTGCACTGGTGGGTCAAGAAGGTATGTCTAGCCTGTGGTTCTTCTCCAAATGAAAAAAAAAAAAAAAAACAAAACAATACACTTTGATCTGAACTCTAAAAATATGTTGTGGTGGGGAAGAGAATGGAGTGGCATTGTGGCTAATGACGAGTCTCCTGTCTGAAATGCCGAGAGCTCATACTGATCCCAGTTTGTCTCCTGGCTGCCCCACTTCCAATCCAGCTCCCTGCAAATGGCCTGGAAAAACTAGCAGAAGATGGCCGTGGTGTCTGGGCCCCTGCAACCATGCGGGAGGCCCGACAGCCGCTCCTGGCTCCTGGTTTCTGCCTAGTTCTTCCCTGATTGTTGCAGCTATTTAGAGCGCAGGCCAGCAAATAGAAGCTCACTTGCTTGCTCTGTCCCTCTGTGTATGTCTCCCTCCTGTCATTCTTTCAAATAAATGAACACATCTTTTTAAAAGTTAGTGGGTAAACACTATCATTAATTAACCCTTAAAGCCTACTGTTGTCACAGTTATTTGAGAAATTCATTGGCATTTTTGTATATGTCTAAAAAGTTTTAAAGATATTAAGAAACAACTCTCTTATTTCTAAGGATAGGAAGGAGGGGTTTTTATTGTCATTCACTTCCTTTGTACATTGTTATAATTTGTTTGCTTTTTCCATGAGCAGAACACAATTCTTTATATATTCACTGATACATGAAAAGGCCTGCAGAGATAATAACAGTTATGGCAGCAAATAATAGTCCAGCTTTTACAAATTTTTTTTATCTTCTATATTATAACTATTGTACATTATAAAATGACTCCACCAACTTTTCAGTCAACAAATACTGGATTTTCACTTTGTGTTACGTACAGTGAATGAGAAAGACAACAGCTGGCTGTACAGAGCCTACAACTGAGTAGGGATTAGCCACCATATACTACAAGAGCGCAATGTGGAGGAGGCATTGTTTTAGGTGCTAGAGCAACATTATTAAATAAAGTTCCTCTCCCCAAGAGGAGAGCCTTGCCTAGAAGAAAACACTTAGCCTGGGGTTATCATATGTCACTGAAGTTGGTGGGGCAGGCCTAAGGAAGTACAGCTCATCTTGGAACCTGCCTTAGTCGTTTTCTGCTGCTACACACAAACTGGGTAGTCTTTGGCTCATGGTTCTGGAGGTTGGGGAGACAGGGTGTGGAGCTGGCCTCTGGAAAGAACTCCATGATGTCCTGACACAGCAGAAGGCAAGCACACACCTGAGAGCAAGAGAGTTGAACTCGCACTTAGCAGGGATTCACGCCTATGGCAACAACATGGATCCACAGTCTCATGAGCTGTGCCCCTATGAGCTCATCATCTCTTCAAGGCCTCACTCCTCAGAACGCTACATTGGCCACTAAACTTCAAAGTGAATTTTGGAGGGGACCCCATATCACACTAGGATCTGAAGACAGGCTGGAGAATGCCATTCAAAAGATCAAATTCTCTGTCTCTCCTCCCTGTAACCTTGTCTTTCAAATAAAAATAGAAACAAATCTTTAAAAAACAAAAAGGTTTATGGCTGGGAGGGCTGGTGCTGTGGCATATTAAGCTAAGCCTCTGCTTGTGGCATCAGCACCCCATATGTAACATGTAAGTAGGTATTAAGCACAGATGTGACATGATCTGACTCCCAAGGCTGTTGGTGAGGCAGCTGGGAGGAAAACAGCAGAAATGGACTGCCAATGGTGGTTTACATTTGTTAGAAGCAGAAACGGTGGGAGGTGGCTGAATGTGGCCTGTGGTTCAGAGACCAATGTTGACAGACTTCACAATGCATTTATGTAGAGGCTATGGGGGGGGGGGGGCAGTGAGGCTAGGTTTTTTTTTTTTAATTAGGAATCAAGACAAAATTTTTTTTGCCTGAGCAGCTAGGTAAAGGGTGGCACTATAAGCTAAAAAGAAAAAACTAAGAAAGGAGCAGTTTGGCCATGAACCGGAAGTTTGTCCAAAAAGAAACCAGTGTATCTGCTTGGCCCTGCCAGTGCAGAGGCTTGCTGCCCTTCAGGCGAAGATACTGCAAGACAAGCCTGTCTATAGCTCAGAGGGGAAGTCTAGGCTGCAGGCACTTTCAAAGAAGGGCAGATTACCTGCTGCTGCCTGCAGGAAGACAGAGGGAGAGGCCAGGGATCGAACTGCAGTGCCCAGAGATGCACTGTGAAAGGGGACAGTCCACTTTGGGTGGAGTGGGAGGGAAAACTCTGGAAACCCATGGCCAGCCAGGCAGGGGCCTGAACTGCTGAGATTCTGGCCCAGAGACAGTTTAGAGTCTGTCATGCTGCTGTACTAGACATGCTTTTTTTTTTTTAAGCTTCCTAGTCAGATATATAGAGGAAGAGAGAGAGAGGAAGATCTTCCATCTATTGATTCACACCCCAAGTAGCTACTATGGTTGGAGCTGAGCTAATCCGAAGCCAGGAGCCAGGAACCTCTTCCAAGTTTCCCAAATGGGCGCAGGGTCCCAATGGACCATCCTCGACCATCCTGCTTTGTCAGGCCACAAGTAGGGAGCTGGATGGGAAGTGGGGTCGCCAGGATTAGAACCAGGGCCCATATGGGATCCTAGAGCGTTCAAAGCAAGGACTTCAGCTGTTACGCTACCACTCCAGGCCCTAGAACTGTTTTATACTTGAACCGCTTTAAGCCACTTATGTTCCAGGGAATCTCTCTGGGCAGTCCAGGCTGGATATTCCCCATCAAAGCTGACTGACGGAGCCCGATGCGTAACAGCCCTGACTTCAGCTTTCTCTTGTTACTCAGGGACTGTCGGTCAGGCTCCTTAAACCAAGATTTTACAGACATGATTCAACTCCGCTCCAACAACCGACGAGTTGGGTGCCATTATTGGCCCGTGTTACTGCTGAGGAGCACGAATACTGATGGTCTGCCCACCAGTAAACAAAGTAAAACCCACGCCTTTGTGTAACTTCAGTCTGGGCCTTAGAGGAAAGGGAGAAAGGTGATAAACTCAGTAAATATGTACCTTGGGTGGTAATTAGGTGATAAACGCTACCATAAAAATGATCAGGATAAACGAGCTAGAGAAGTTGTGATTTTTTTTTTCAAGCAGGGTAGCCAAGGAGGCCCTCACCAGGAAACTGCGCGAAAATTGACAGGAGGGCAAGCGCGAACTGCAAACGCAGGCAGTGAGTGGAGGGGCTGCTGCCCCCAGTGCGAGGACTCGGTGAGGTGGGCTCAGTGCAGACATCCCACCCCCTCGGGTTTCCCAGAACCCCTTCCCGAGGTTTGAGTCCAGGGAGTCTGCGCCCTCTGGATGAAGGATGGACGGATTACACACCGGCTCAACCCGTAGGTGCTGGCCCGGGACTCCCTCTGGCTCCCGCGAGCCTTCCACTTTCCGCCCTCTCAGCGTCTACTCAGACAGGTTTCCGCGCAGGGCTGCTCGCCGGCAGCTACCGATGGCGCAATGGGGCGCGCGGGTGGGGTCGGGACCTGGGCGGAGCGGCTGCCGCCTGGGAGGACGCCCCGGCCGTCCACGCACAGCAGCGTGTCCCGACCGCACCGGACGCCCGCGGCGTGCGCCTGCGCACATCTCATCCAGGCCCACGGCGTTCCAGTCGCCAGGCGCCACTCCTCCAGTTCCGGGGCGGGGTTTCAGACCGCGCCTGCGCGCTGCGCCGCCGTGCCCTGCGCCTGCGCGTTGCGCTCGCCCGGCCCCCGTTCCGCCCCCCTCCTTAGGTTTTCCAGGTGGGGGAGGGGGCGCGTCTCGGCGAGTCACGATGATGGCGGCCACCATCGTGTGGTGAGCTAGCGGATTCTCTGCTGGTCTCTCCGAGTCCCTCGCGTCTCCGGCTGCAGACTCAGGGGGCTGGCGGCGGGCACGTGAGGAAGCCAAGAGGCCCGAGCTCGCGCGCGGTGGTGGGGGGGAAGGCCGCAGTCGCGGAGACAGCGGCGGTGCGGCTCGGGGCCCGGCGCCCGGAGGAGAGGCCGCTCGGCTGGGCGAATGTGACAAGCCCCCACCCCCACCGCCTTCCTCCCGAGAGCGCGAGCAGCGCGGGCGACCCCAGGGCCCGGCCCGGCCCCAGACCCCGCCCAGCGGCCAGCGACCCGGCGGAGGCCCGGCAGCAGCCGAGCTGCGCGGCGGCGGCAACCATGCAGGTCACCCTCAAGACCCTTCAGCAGCAGACCTTCAAGATCGACATCGACCCGGAGGAGACGGTGCGGGCGGGCGGCTGTGCGCGCGTCCAGGGGCGGGAGGCGCAGCCGGGCGCGGGACCGGAGGCCCTCGGCAGCCGGCCGCGGGGCTTTGTGGCCGGCCGCCGGAGGCCTGCGGGCACATGGCGTGGAGCAGCGCACGGCCGCCCTGGGGCCGAGCGGGGCAAGGGAGGCGGTGGGGGGACCCGACCCTGGGGCTGCCGCTGCACCGGTGGGGGAGGGCGGTGTAGACGTGGAGGGCTAGGAGTAGGTAACCCGAGCTGACGGGTGCTTCAAAAAGAACTCTCAGGTTCCATCTGTTGGCTTGCTGGATGGGGAGAGAGGGTGGTGAGATAGGTTGGATGCCCCTTTCTCGGGAGGGGATGATACCCCCTTTGTTGGCCTGCACCTCGAGCCGTTTTGCTGCCGCCCTCCTGGCCCCTCCAGCACACACGCAGACGCAGAGCGCTCCTGCCGAGCTCCGTGCTGGCGGGGATCTGTGCAGCCGAGCCCTCGGATCCAGGCTCCATTCCAGGTTTCGCAGGTCCTCTGTTGCAAGTCTGGGAATTGTTGGGGCTGGAACCCTGCACCCTTCTCTCACCCCCACCCTCCTTCCCCCATGTTAGCTGTTCAGGGCAAAGAACGTGAAAACTTTGGATTTCTTCTGTATTTAGTCTTCGAGCCTTAGGCCCACGTGATACATTCTCGTGCCATCTTCTCTACTTGTGACTGCTGAAAGCCGCTGGGTCGAAGTCAGTGCAGCCTTTTGCCAAGAGTCTAAAAATGTCGCGAGTGTATCTGCTGCGCGTGTTGTGCCGACCACACGCCGTTAAGACTGCCATGTCAACTTAAAACCAGCAGCTTGCTGCTGCTTTATATATGAAAAAAAATAGATGATTTTATTCAGGGTGGAGACTGGGGCCTTGTGTTCCGTCTGTGGCTTTGTGACTTAATTTGTTCTGACCTTGGACACTTTGCTGTTTTCCTTCTCCATAATAGATATGATAGCTGTGGATTAAATAGTGTTTGGTTGGAGGTCAATCAATGGAATTGTTTAATCAGCAGGTACCTTTGAATGACGATGGTGTTTAAGTTTTTACCCCTCACTTTCAGTCTTCTAAGTGTTTCAACAAACCGGGAGAGTTTCCAAGCGTTTGGGACTTGGAAAGAAATCTCAAAATAATCCATCAAATGCAGATGGATGCTGTGTGATGAGGTCTCAAAGGTGCAGGTGGTCTGAGAAACTTGCTATGTGTCAGAAGTAACCGACAAGCACCTCTGGCTGATGCTGCTAATAGAATCAGATTCTTCTGGAATATTCCTGTTGCTAGGGTTTACTGTTGGGTTACAACGACACAGTTGTCTATTTAATGATTTCAGACCAAACTACATAAACTGCTTCTTTGGTTCTGTGGGGTAATAAATGTTGGCACTTTAGTAACTGTCAGTTTGTAATAGTTAATTCCAAATGATTGGAACCTGAAGGTTCTCCCCCCACCCACTTTTGTTTTGAAGGGAAAAGTGTATGCTGGAGTTACAGGGCTGCCCTTCTGGCTTCAGGGACAGCTTCCCGCTCTAGAGACCTGTGTTGGCCTTTTGGCATGTTACAGGTAGAGCCAGTGCTGTCCTGATGTAAGTTGTTAACTGCATTTACTTTTTTCATTTGTTTCCAATGAAAAGTATGCTACCCAGAAAGACCTGTGTTTGCGGGGGTTTGCTTCATTTTTGTTGCTATTACTATGATTATAGAAAATATTGCTAGCTTAGTCTAGGGTAAGAAATGAAAAAGTATTTACATTAAAATGACTCATCAGTTTTCATTAATAGCTTTTAAGTTTCAGAGATTTTTTTTAAAGACAACCTTTAGGTATTTACTAATTCTTTATTTTAGTATTCCAGTAAGAAAAGAAGTAGTAACTATGGTGCAAGTGACTCTGTCTTGCTCTAATTTGGTGTGATAATTAGATAACCAAAGATAAGGTAACTAGATAAAAATAAAGTTAGGATTTCATTGTGACTTCATGGGGTGTTTTTTTTTTTTAAGATTTATTTTATTTTTTATTGGAAAGTCACATTTACCGAGACAAAGGAGAAACAGATCTTCCATCCGCTGGTTCACTTCCCAGGCGGCCACAATGTCCGGAGCTGTGCTGATCTGAAGCCAGGAGCTTCTTCACAGGTTTCTCACATGGGTACAGAGTCCAAAAGCTTTGGGCCATCCTCGGCTGCTTTCCCAAGCCACAGGCAGGGAGCTGGATGGGAAGCTGGAACACTGGGATTAGAACTGGTGCCTATATGGGATTCGTGCGTGTTCAAGGAGAGGACTTTAGCCACTAGGCCTACACCCATGTGGATACAAGGTCCAAAGACTTTGGTCCATCCTCAGCTGCTTTCCCAGGCCACAAGCAGGGAGCTGGATGGGAAGTGGAGCTGCCAGGATTAGAATCGGTACCCACATAGGATCCCAGCATGCTCAAGGTGAGGACTTCAGCAACTAGGCTACCACGCTGGGCCCTCCCTTTTCAAAAAATTTGCTTGTATTGGAAAGGCAGATACACAGAGAGGAGGCGAGAAAGAGAGGAAGATCTTCCTTTTGATCATTTACTCCCAAAGCAGCCTCAATGGCCAGAGCTGAGCCAATTCAAAACCAGGAGCCAGGAGCTCTTCCAGGTCTCCCACACAGGTACAGGGACCCAAGGCTTTGGGCCATCCTGGACTGCTTTCCCAGGCCACAAGAAGGGAACTGAATGGGAAGAGGGGCTGCTGGGATTAGAACCAGCACCTACATGGGATCCTGGTGCTTGCAAAGTGAGGATTTTAACCGCTAGGTTACTGCACCAGTCCCTCAGTTTTTTTTTTTTAAAACTAACTTTCTTGCACTTATTAGCCATTTTGTACCATGGCTTGGCCAACACCATGCAGTGCTTCTAGTGTTAACCGTTTGCAAAGGTCTTTGCTTGCGTGGTGCTAATGCATCCCCTTTGAAAAGCTGTAGAAACGAGAAGGTGGTATAGGTGGAGAATGTAGCTAAAAGGTTTTCTTTACTGTGTTTGGTTTTAAATGGGCAGTACTGTTAAGAGGTAGGATTTACAATGGCTAACTTCTAAAGCATTCAAATATGTCTGATAGACCAATATTCAACATTCCTATAAATACTTGGTGGCATGCTGGAGATTTTTAGGAAAATTAAATGAACTTTTTAAAAGCTTAACTCCAAAATTAGATAGTGGTTATTTTGTGTGTTTGGGGGTACTGCTGCCCTTTCATTAAGAACAGGCAAATTAAAGAACTGTACTGTTAAGATAATTGCAACTCAGTGGTATGTTATTGCATCAGTGAGATGGTAAGTGAGGGTACATGGTATACAGATAGACCCTGTGATCTGTAACTCTTGGCAGTGGATATGTGCTTTGTATGACCGGGCATGAGAGCAGTATTTTTGACGTAAAATTTTAAATGCAGAAGTTGGCATGTTGCTGTTTCTCTATTAATGACGTTAAAACTGAGTGTGCACTGGATGTTTTTGATGAGAATTGTAAAGCTTTAGTTTTTGTAAGCCACTTAGTGTGCTGTGCAGTAATGTGAAGAATTGCTTTGTGATTTACCTCTGTAGTGTTGTTGTTAGAAAATACTATTTAGCGTTTGTTGTAAACAGTATTGTCTAGTCACCGTTGATTAGTGGGTTGTCCCTGTTTTACTGTATTTTTTTATTTAATTTGTTTTTTTTATTTGAAAGGCAGAGCTACAGAGGCGGAAGGAGGTACGCGTCTTCCCTGTGCTGGCCACTCCCCAGATGATCACAGTGGCTGAAGCCACAAACCGGGAACTGCAAGGGCCCAAACACCCTAGCTGTCCTGCCTCACCTGCCCAGGACATCAGCAGGGAGCTGGATCATAGCGGAGTGACCATGGAACTAGTACCCATTTGGGATGCTGGCTGAGGCCCAAGCCTGCTGTGCCACAGTGCTTGCCCCAGTTCGTTGATTTTCAACATAATTGTGCTGTGTATAGCACCTTATTTATAGCAGTTTATCAAAGTATTCAGAAGATAAATATATAAGAATGCTAAATAATAGGTGAGCTTATGGGTTCTTAACATCATAGGCCAAATTGCAGGAAGAAACTGGAAAATGTGGTAGGATTTCAATGTATTCTTTTTTCAACTTTAGTGTAGATTGGATGTTGATTTTTGAAGTAAATATTTGTTGGTTGCTTACTGAATGTTAGGCCCTTCCAGCTGTTAATGGTGCATATGGTCTAGTGAGAGAGAAAGCATTCCAAAATGTAAAAGAGCAGGTCATGCTAAGGCTGTGTGGAACATTTCTAGGTGAAGTGTTGTGGTTCTTTTAATTTAAGTCACACAAAGCCTTTCTGAATAATAATGAGCACTCAACACAAGTGACCAGAGGGCACTAACTGCTAAGACAAGGCGTTTTGAGAGTTTGGGAATGTGTTTTGAGAATCAAATGCCTGTGTTCCTGAAGTGAGGGGAGAGAAGAGTTAAGGGGTTAGAGATGGTTATTAGGCCAGAGTTTGTAGGCGTTCAATGTAGGCTAGAGTCTTTGGAGGTTACATGGAAAGAAATATTTATGATTTTGAAAAGATTTTGGTGTTTTAAGGGCAAGAGAGACCTTGTAAACTTGTGAAGAGTTTAAAGTTAGAGCTTGGGACCAACGAAGGAACAGTGAGAAAATCAGAAACGTAGATTAGAGATACTTTGGAAGGTAGGGTAGGGAGGATTTTTGATGTGTAGGAATGAGAACTAAAGATCAGTGGTTGCACCGAAGGCTAGGTGAAGATGCGGCTGGGGCTCCTGCATCCCTGAGCAGAGTCTTGGCTAGTTCGCACCCTGGAGTCAGCAGCTGATGCTCAAACACTTGCCTCTGGTCTCCTGGCTTGAGCCTGGCTTAGCTCTGGCTGTTGCAGGCATTTGGGAGTGTGAACCAACAGATCTGTGTGTATACCACTCTTGTCTTTCAAATAAGAAGCAGTATTAAATAATTCCACCTTGATTTTGTTTTTATA